GCCATTGAAAGAATTTCAGTGATAGCTGTGTGAGCCTGCTGAATGCAAAATGGAAATGTTTTGCATATCCTTGGGATGAAAGGAGTTATCACTCTAAGCTATTTACATATTAGTTTTCATTTAATACTCATGGTATATCAGACATTATAGAACTTTCACCGTTTTCCTTTATGACACTGCAGAACTCTGATAACTATGCTCTGTGTAAAATGTAATTCCCTGGTTTACCTGCCTGCTTGGATTGAACTGCGGAATCTTAATTTGCTGTCATGGTTTCCATGATCCTTTGCTCATGTCATATTGTTGTTACGATGAACACATTGCGTATACAGCATAGCCTTCATCTTCTGAAGGCAGAGTACAGACACCTTCATCCTTGTAAAATGAATAATTAAACTAGGATTTTAATATTTGTGTTTTCTTTGGGGTTTATTATCTCTAACTGTGAAAACTAAATCAATTATATTGTATGCTCTGTCTGACTAGCTCTTGAAAAAATGGACCAGAGTTTTCCATACATCTGTTCTGTGGCTTTAAGCTATCTCAAAAGAGCACTGTTGTAGAAATGGACTGTATTCTGCCAGTTGGATAGGTGGCATTTTTATCATTGCCACCTTGAGGTTTACATAAGGACTGCAAATGTGATGCAAAACTAGGGAAGCTGATTGTCACTGGTAAGGTCCTATGGTATAATGTAATTCTTCTCTTTTACCTGCCTTGCCTGAATTTGTTTTTTTTTTTTGTTTGTTTGTTTCTGTAGACTCCAGAGGAAGGAGCCTCTACAAGCATCTATGCAGCAGTATCACCCGAGATGGAAGGAGCTGGTGGCTGCTACCTTTACAATGAAGAAAGGACAAAATCGGCTGGCATAGCATATGATGAGGAGCTGCAGAGAAAGCTCTGGACAGAAAGCTGCAAGATGGTTGGGATTTCTGATGAATCCAGCAGAGTTCCCTAGAAGAAGCCACTTCCAGCTGGGTAAATGAAATGTATTGACAAGCATCTTAGGCGAATTCTTGCAGCATCAGTCATCATCCTGGAAATCACTGTTCAGTCCCAAAGGCAAACATGAACAGCTCTGTTCTTCACTTGAACCCCTAGTCTGCTAGGGTGGGGGGGGAGTATTCCCACAGAAAGATGTAGTGGTTGGTTTTAAATCTAACCATCAGTTTTGTAAATCATGATGTTTCAGTCTGTGATTAAAATACAATCTTTAACCTTGTGCAGAGTTGAGTTTTCATTTTTTGTTCAACAAAAAAAAAAAAAGACTTTCCCTGGTGAACATGTTCTGTCTGTGGGATGTTGAACTTAAGCCACCTTTGTACATATAACTTACTCTTTTTTAATCAGTTTTAAAAGTTGCAGCTTTTTTCCTTAAGCTTCATTGATCTTTAAGACACTTTATAATGAATGTCAGTTTGTTCCAATGCAGACATTTGGCATTCATGATCATTATGTTGTTTCTATCATAACGTTCGTTTTATATGTCAACTTTTATCCAGAGGTTTTAAGTCAAAATCAGAACAAAAAAAATGTAAATAAATAAGGTCTTCAGACAGGATATTGAATTCAGTTGTTTTCCATTTGAGTTCAGCTGTCCTTTAAAGGTGAGCCCTAAGAACGAGGAAGGGCTCTAACAATGGGGACACTGGATTTGGCAGAGGGTGCAGTTGGCCTATTGTCTCAGCAGTGGGCTAAGGTTACTCGTCCCCTTTTCTCCTGAACTCATGTAAACTTGCGTTTGCCACTTCTTGCATTTTCTTTCGTAAGGAGATTCACTCACTTCTTCACCGAAAGGGTGGTCAAGCACTGGAACAGGCTGCCCAGGGAAGTGGGTGAGTCCCCCTCCCTGGAGGTATTTAAAAGAAGGGTAGACGTGGTGCTTGAGGACATGGTTTAGTGGTGGACTTGGCAGTGTTAGGTTAATGGTTGGACTCGATGATCTTAAGGGTCTTTTCCAACCTTAATGATTCTATGATTCTAAGAATCACCTCCTTTCGCTGGTTTTGAACGTAGTTCATATGAGTTTCAAAACTAGAGTTCATGGTTTGGAAGAGACAGCAATCAATTAATGCCAGTCCACTTTTTTCACATTGCTAAGGGTTTTGGAGACTTCCAACATGTCCCCCTTAAACTGTCTCTTTGCCATGCTGAAGAGTAGTCCCTGCCTACTCATCTGACTTACACAGCAGCAACAGGATATTTTCCCTTTTGTTATGTATTTCTTTCCTAAGAATTTCTAACAGCTGTTTTATTTTTAATTTTATTTGACTGTCTCTGAGTGTGGAGCTTATACTTTTTATGAAACTATTTTTGGTGAACTCTAAGATTTCTCTTCTGAGTGGGATAGTGGTCAGTTCAGATGCCATCAGTTTTGAACATGCTTCAGCATGTACAGTTCAGGGAACTCCACCTATGCCTGCCAAAGTGAAGCTTCAAGAATGATGTTCACATCCATGGAGTAAAGAACAAAACAGACATGTGGCAATATAAAGATAGTCTGAGTTTCTATAAGCTCAAATAACTAAAAGAAAAAAAAACGAATTGAAGATAGACACAACATTTTAACGGGGAAGGTGATAAACCATAAGAATAATTTACAGAGAGACTTCCCCTGGAAGTTTTAGTCAAGATTAGAAGTCTCCCCAAAACATCTAGAAGGCTCCAGGGGGACCTTATAGCAGCTTTCCAGTACTTAAAGGAGTCCTGCAGGAAAGATGTGGAGGGACTTTCTATCAGGGAGTGTAGTGATAGGACGAGGGGTCATGGTTTTAAACTGAAAGACAGTAGATTTAGATTAGATATTAGGAAGAAAGTCTTTACTGCGAGGGTGGTGAGACACTGGAACAGGTTGCCCAGAGAAGTTGTGGATGCCCCCTCCCTGGAAGTGTTGAAGGCCAGGCTGGATGGGGCTTTGAGCAACCTGGTCTAGTGAAAGGTGTCTCTGCCCAACCCAAACCCTTCTGTGATTCTGTGATTTCTCCTTAGTGAGAGAAACTTTCCAAGTGTGGACTCTGTGACTAGGGAGCCTGAACTCTTGCTGTTAATGGAGTGAGCTCTACCCTACTCCCATCTCATTCATTTTAGGTGTTGTCTGAAAAAGAAGCATAATCCTATTAATGTCCTTGCATTTCCTTTTTTAAGATACACACAGCAAAAGAGACCAATAGGCAGATGTAAATCTTATATTCACTTTGGGGCACTGGAAACCACTGCATGACAGAACTAAGTGCAAACACAGTGCTGTGCTCTCATTTGCAGCAGACTAGAAACAATATGAACATGTTCCTATGCACTGAACCCCGGACTAATATCCCTTTTGGGCTTTTTAGCTCAAATCTGGTATTTCACTGACCATATCTCCAGCCTCTGGTTCAGAGAGAGACCACATCTAACTGAAAGAAAGCATGCTTATATGTCCAGAGACTAGCAAGGATATGCAAAGATAAAAAAAATAGTATGAACAAAGAAAAGCAGACAAGTACAAAAATAATAAAAAATCTGAAGGAGAGCATATTTCCCCTCTGAATTAAGCCATGCATGATTTATTCCTAGCTTCTTAGAGTTAGTATATACAAGGGTTAGCAGCAGGAAATTTATCACTCAGTCACTATAGCACTTTCTCCGTATGACTGGCTGACTTTTTTTTTAGGTAAGTGAATGTAGTGCTTGTGAAATGTGCCAGACTGACACTCTGGGAACTGAATTCCTCTGTTTATTCACGGATCATGCACAGGATGCAGTAAGCCTGCTAGACAGCCAACATTTTGATGTTGCCATAGCATTCCCACGGAACATCATTGCTGCTAGAAGTGTGTCCAGGATTACTCAAATGAGATGGGACCAAATTACCTTCAGGTTTCACTCTCTTGAAGCTCCACAATATTTGCACAGCCAGTTTCAAGTGGCATAGAGATTGGTAAAAGAGCAAACAGTAAAGAGAGCTAGTTACTCTTTCAGCGTAATCTGAACCACTTTGTTAGCGGTCTCAGTCCAGTGAAATCAGTTTTAACAACACTGAAAACATGGTTTGTGAGAACCAAGAACACAGATTGTGCCTACACAAAGGAAAAAAAAATGTGTCCTAAAGCCAGGGATTTCTAGAACGGCGCGATGTCATGAAGACATAGTTGAGCTATTTGCAAAAGAGTTACCTCAGGAACTAAAAGCAGAAAACTCTGTCAGCTCTGCAATGTCACATAAGCAAGTAAGCTTGTCTTGAGCAAAATCCAGTGTCGTCATAAAGTGCTGTGTGTCACTGGGAGCACTCGTGGTATTGTTGCAAAAATCCAAAATAACCCTTAGCGTATCTAGTAGGAAAAAAAATATATATATATGAAGCATGTAGAAAGAGGACAATGATTTTACTTCTGCACACAGAAATGGTAAGAGCTGATTTACCTTCCACATTTCAAGGACATGGAATTTCCGGAGATCTGAGAAGCCCTTTCTTTCACTTCACTGAAGACATGCCTGAGAGATGGTTTGAGTCTGTGCAGTAGGTACATACATATAGAAAAAAATACCTGAGAGCTTTTTAACATTGCAAAGAAAGGCAAAACAAGCTCCAATAATTGTAAATTGAAGTTTTAGACAAACTAACCTTCCAACATGAAAACAGATCCGCTCTCTGTGAGAGTAATTGCATATTGGAACACCTAGCTCTGATATCTGAAGATAATGAAAAGATGCCTCTGAAAAGATACCTGGCCAGGAGGCCAGGTAGGCTCCTCCACAAAGTAGGTCAGTCACAGTGAAGTCATACTTAGATTATCCCTCATGTCCAAAGTGACAGCACTTATTTTGATTAGTATGAGAGTGACCCATTGCTCACAACTTCTAAAATGGATATTTCCCTGCCAGTACTCCACCCAGGCTAATATTGAATTCAAAAATCTAGGTGTCTTTACCTAGGCTCAAAAAGGCACACAAAATCTACAGTCCGGTTGAAGTCTAAGATCAACAGAAGCATCTGCTAAGGACCACCGTGATCAACGGAAGCATCTACTAAGGGCCACAATGCTGTGATCCTGTTGCCCTCAGTGAGGGAGTGAAGCTGTTTCAAACCAATATTTTATTCTTTTCTTAAAAAGGATTACTTTTCTTTTTCAGCTCCCATGAAAAAGAAAAAATTAATCTTAAAAAATGACAAAAAAGATGAATGCTGTTTTGAAGGATAGTTCAAATAAATATTATAGATCTTACTGCAATGAATGTAGTTATCTAGGAATTTGATAGGACAATGTTATTTAAACAATGAACTTAAAAAATAATGTGCTGACAAAGAGCCCTAAGTTTCTTAGGAAAAATGTTAACTTTTTCATTAATTAACTAGTTTACTTGTAAACTGTGGGGAAATTAATTATGTACTGAAAGAATAAGTGCTGTAATTCATGTGTGAATACACTGTTATTCGCACATAATAAAGTAGTTACATCCTTACTTCCAGCTCAAAATTGATTTTAAGCCCTAAATGTGGAACCTCTGGACACACTTCTACAATGATATTTTATACATATTTAAACTTTGTAGTTTGATTTTTGCGCAGCTATCAATTACTTTAGTACACAGTGAGAAGTGATATAGCATAGAAACAAAGACTTCATTATTTGAAATCAGGCTTGCTACTGCCTCTTCCAAATGCACAGTAGTGTTAGCCCTAAGTATAAGAATACGTGTCAGATATTTAAATCCTGATCCTAAATAAAATATGCAAGCTTTGGCTCTTGTACAGTTCTGGCCTTAGACTGTCCTTGCCCATTATATGATATGTTTTATGCTCCAGCTGCCTCCATGGAAAGACAAAATGAGATTCCAGTGAAGTTGACATGAAATCTGTCACAGATAAGACAAAACCACATGATTTTAAGAGAGTGAAGGCTGAGGACACTGACCAATCTGCAATAGTTGAAGAAGTCAGTGCAAAATGTGAAGTGTATTGCACAATATCAGGCCAGGCAAGACCGATAAGCCATTTTCATGAGCATGTTTCTGAAGGCAATTTTATTCCTTTTTAAAACAAAACCACTGTTTTTTCAGCAATCCACTGTGGTAACATTGAGAATGCTGTGAGCCTTGTTAGGAAGAAAACAGACCAGTGACCAAGAGTGCTGTTTCCAGATGCATGTAGTTACCGGCTTCTATACTGTACCCATCAACCCTTGTTAGCATCTGTCCCTTTGGAAATGGATCCGAGCCAAGAATTCCTTTCACACAGGCAATCAATAAG